ATCTTCCCCTTCCCCCCCCCCATCTCCTTTTTTTTTTTTTTTTTTCTTTCTTCCCCCCTCTTTCCAGGTTGGCAACCTGGGTCTTCTCTTCATGCTGCTGTTCTTCATATTTGCAGCTCTTGGAGTGGAGCTCTTTGGAGATCTTGGTGAGTTCCTCACTTCTTCCATCACAGTTGCAGGAATTGAAGGGATGTCGCTGTGCAAAGGGGACATACGAGAGAGTGGGCATTTAATAGAGGTTCTTCTGGTTGATCTCACAGAGTGCGATGATACTCACCCCTGTGAGGGTCTTGGGCGGCATGCAACATTTAGAAACTTTGGAATGGCCTTTTTGACTCTCTTCCGAGTGTCGACTGGAGACAACTGGAATGGGATAATGAAGGTAAGAGATCCTTGCTTGTCTCTGTCTCCTCCAAAACAATAACCAGGATCAGTGGGGGCACTCAGGCGGTGACAGTCAGTAGATATAAAGACATGGCATTTTCTTCTTCCCCTTCTGACACAGCAGTGCAGGGGCAGGCAACTATTTGGGTGGAGGGCCGCTTTTTGGCAAGCCATCGAGGGCTGCATAACAGGCAGCCAGGGGCAGATAAATATTAATTTTATATTTTAGGGGCCCCGCGGGCCAGGTAGCATGGCCTGGCAGGCAGCATCCAGCCCACGGGCTGCATTTTGCCCACCTCTGCAGTAGCACTTGGGTTTGCAGGCCCTCAGGATACATCATATATTTCCAGGCTTTTCCTGGGGCAATGGTTGGAGGAGTGGGAGACTATCTCTACTGAGTAGCATATGTTAAGGGTTTTTTAGTAAAGGAGTCTAGAGTCTCTAACAAGTAGAAGAAGATATAGAGAATTGAGGAGCCAAGATGAAGAGGTTAAAGGAATAGGTAGCTGGTATCTACTGTAAATACTGAAACTAGGAGTTTCCTTTGGACCTGTGCACAGGGCAATATTTCTAATGCTGCCTCTTCCCCAACGCACACATTTTTGCTGTGCACCCCTGTGCCCTTACCCAGCTATTAATGCTACACCTATTGGCAATGAGAAATATGATGCACACTACTTATGAAAAAAAGGGCCAGATGCTGTTACTGCTGCCTTCTCTTGCCAGTCTGATCTTTGGGATAATACTACCCAAGATTTTGGGCATGGTTTTGTTGGCACGTGGTTTGTCTTTCCAAACACATCTGAAAATCTTTCATGCAGCGGGCCTGGTCTTCTCTGCATGCCAACTGGGAAAGAATCCATTCATCCAGCAGGGACGGATCCCACACGACTGACTGGAGATTTCCCAGTTAACTCATTTTCCCCCTTGTCGCCAGGACACGCTGCGAGACTGTGACCAGGAGTCTACCTGCTACAACACAGTCATCTCGCCCATCTACTTCGTCTCCTTCGTGCTGACAGCCCAGTTTGTCCTGGTGAACGTGGTGATTGCAGTGCTCATGAAGCACTTGGAGGAGAGCAACAAGGAAGCTAAGGAAGAAGCGGAGCTAGAAGCAGAGCTGGAGATGGAAATGAAGACGATAGCTCCAGGCCAACACCCTTCCTCGGATCTCTTTGCGTGGACAGGCGGTAATGGTGGAGATAGGCCTGAGAGCCCCAAAGGATGTACCAATCCCCTGCAAATCAAGGTGGATTCTCAGCTCTCATTATTTTATCCTATGGTGAGGATCTCTGGTGGAGGGTGAAGAGGGGGGTGGCTTGCCTATTTGCTAATAGAGGACGTGCACGAATTCCGTGATGAAGGACTGGGTGTACGGTGCGTTGGGAGTTGTATTCCTTACTGTCTGTTATGAAAAGATATGCCCTGAGGTAGAGATCCCAACCAAGTCTTCACATCTGGTATGGTGCAAAGAGTTGTGTGTGCTAGAGGTGGGCCCAGACCACACAGTTCAGATCTGTCTCCATCTTTAGGTAGTGCTCAGTCAGAACACTTTGGCCAAACCCCTGCATTGTTTGTAAAGAAAAATATATGACTAGACTTTCCCACCTTCTCCTCCCACATACATGCTGGTAAATGTGAAGTGAGTGGAGCTACGCTGATGAACAGCAAGTAAGAGGCCAGAATCAGGCCCACAAGTTTCTAATGCAAATTGCACATGAATAAAAGGATTCAAAAAATAACCCGCTCTTGAACCCCTGTTGTGCATTAAATAGGAGATTTTGATTTCTCATTATTGAGGTTAAAAAAGCATCCAGAACTGATGACTGCTCTTATGGATAGATAGAAAATGTATTTATAATCTTTAGCCTAGGAATGAAGAGAGAGTAAAACCCTTACGCTTGTTTTCAAGCTCTGAAGCACTGGAAAGCATCTCTTGCTCTTAGGCAGACAAAACTCTTGGGGTAGAGGCAATATCTTTTATTAGACCAACTTGATAGTTGCAAAAAAAAAAAAAATCTTTATTTGCAAATTAAAATGTTTTTTGCAATGGTCTAATAAAAGATAACACCTCTACCCCAAGAGTTTTGTCTGCCTATGCCTTCAGCCCAACATGGCTGCAACTAATATCTCTTGCTCTTGAACACTGGTGTATGATGGATCCCAAACCCTACTTGCCACCACAGGGAAAAGTGGCTCAGAGCAATGTGGGGGAATCTCCTGCTAAATTGCATCTTGCTGTGCTTTTCAAAAGAAGCACCATCACTGACCACAACAAATACTGGCTCCAACTTGGCTCTGCTGCTGTGTAGGATGCGAGAGCGTTGCATCGCCTTACCCTGCCCCATACCTGCCAACTAGCGCAGGTGTATGCCAGACAGTGAGATTTCCCCCCTTTATCTTTTACACCCATCTCATTCAGTCTTTCTTGAGTGTCCACCGTACTTCCTGCTACCATGTTTTCTCACATACGACAACATTATTTTTTTCCAAAAATGAGCTGCTGAAAATTGCGGGGCATCCCGTGTGAGAGGAAAAACAGCAAACGCGGTTTCCGCTGCTTACTGGGCAAAAGCAAGAGTAGAGTTTGCAGGCGAGTCACAGACAGCAGAACAACGAGCAGCCTTAGCTCCCAGTCCCTAGCTGCTGCTACTCAGTTACGTTCTATAAGAAAAGGTCTTTTTTCTTCATTCTGCCTTTCTAAAGGAATGGATGCAATGGATGTGAGAAATACGGTGTTCTGTAGGTGGACATATGTTACAGATCATACTGCCAGATTAAGAAACAAGTAGGTGAACTGTACCGGGACAGACTTGAAGAACCTGAACTGTCTTTTCTTTAGAGATGGGTGGGTGGGGTAAGGGCAGGGTCCATTCCTTATAGACATTTCCAGATGGTATTCATTGCTCTTTCCACCAAAACAGATGCCTTGGAAATCTCAGAAGGGCTTGATTTTGAAACAATCACAATGCTTTTGTTTCCTTTCAGTCAAAATCTCTGCAACAAATCTAGTGCTTGAATGCCTGATGGTAGCAGAATACAATTCCCAGAATGCAAACCTGCAAGGGCATGTGGTCAGCATGCTCTTTTGCTTGGCTAATCCCTAGGATATTTGTACTGCGTGCCATTTAAGTGTAATGATGGTGCTTGTTTCATTGTGTATATATCTATATATCGGATCTTCCCTATACAAAAGCACTAGTTTTTAAATGACTGCCTTACTGCTTGTGAAAATGGGATCTCAGCACATGCAACATTCCCGTTGTGTACATTACGGCCAACGCTGGGAAGTTGACCATCTGCTGTTAGAAATCTGAACCCAATATTAAGGCACCTAAGCTAGTGGCCTGATATTTGCTATGGCTGAATATCCCTGGCTGCCAAGAAGAGGTGAGGAGTTTCAGCACCTCTGATCATGAGGCAGCTTTCATTCATGGGAAGCTTTCCTGGTCAAGATAGTTGGCATAGGGGTTTCTGAAAAGTCCTTGAGAAGTTTCTCTTTTAGAAAGTCACCGAAACAAGTAAGAGGCTTCTGTTACAATGGCCCTGCTCGGATTCTGCAACAGATAGGAATAGCAGGGGATGGGCATTTAGGATGAGAGCAGTTCTGGAGATGGGCCAGCACCTAAACCATCACAGATCTCCAGGGCGTTTGGTATTGGTCCCATCTCTGACAAAGTTGGAGAAAGCATTCACATCTGACTGTGATATTACTGCACTTTTTCTCTTTCCTCCTGTCTTGAACTTTCCCTTCCTGCTCATTTCTGTTCCTACCATTCTCTCTGAAAACAACTCCTTTTTCTTCTTTGGTTGGATTTGTTTTTCCCCCGTCCTCCTCTCTCTGTCTCTGTCCCTCACTCTCTCTCTCTCTCTCTCTCTCTCTCTCTCTCTCTCTCTCTCTCTTTTTGGCCTGCTTTATCCTCCTGCATGCTATACGGCACTGCTCCCAGGAAAGGCACTTGTTTGATACCCTATCACTGCTGATCCAGGAATCTCTGGAAGGAGAGTTGAAGCTGATGGACAACCTGTCAGGCTCTGTGTGCCATCATTATGCCCTTCCAGCTCCTGAATATTACAACTCTGAGAAACAGGTTAATATTCCTCATTTCCTGCAGTCTCCTTCCAAACTCAATTCGAGTGAGACCTTTATGACAAATTTTTAAAGTGTTTGCTTTATCTAACAAAGTCATAGGGTTTTTTAACCTTAAAACCACACGGGCTTCTCTTATGGGAGGGCAGCTTCATTCCTCTGGTTTAAGATGTTTTATAGCTAGAGCAAGAGTTTACCATTTCCTCCTTTGTGCAGTAAATCCCAAAGTCAGTTATTCTCTGCAGGAGCATCCTTGGGGTGGGGGGAGCCAAACAAGCCGTGGCCCTGATTCTGTAACTGGGCTCTTGAGTTCAAACCCTTGCTGCTGCATGGGGCATCGACCATGCAGATGGGATTATAGGGTGGCCGGCCCTGGGCCAGAATCCAAGGTGCTGCACGTGGGCCTCGCTTCACTCTGTTTCTGTATCTGTTTACACAGCCGAGGCTCATGCTCCATATGTTTGTCTGAAGAGGTCTCTTGCAAGTAGAGCTGTGTAGCCTCAATACCGGCCACCAATCTGAAGCCCAATTCCAGGTAGCAAGAGACGGCTCTTAATGAAGCCCTTAAAACAAATCCCTCACTTCAGTGCTTTCATGTATACGAGCAAACTTGAGCATTTGCTTTCTTGAATTGGGACCTGAAAGCATTAAACGAAAACCAGAAAAAGCATTTCCCTCAATCATTCCAGCTGAAATACAAACCCTGCTCACTCATCGTCCAAAACGCCCTAGAGCAAATGAGGGAGTAATAATAATTCAACCCCCCTCATTTTTTCCTGTCATTTTCATTTTGATTAGTCGAACTGTAATATTTATTGTAATTTTTTGCTTAAGGGATTTGAAGATTTCTCATTTAAATCAGTTAGAAGTAAACTTATTTACCACTTTGCAAGTACATGTTTGCTCTTCATTAGGGAAGAACAAGTTTAGATAAAATGAAGACTATGTGCAGTTTTCGACATGGAACGTATTGCAGTGTAAGGATTCCTTTAGGGCCATTGCACCAACCGGGAATCACGAATGTCCACCACGCTGGCCCCTTTTCTCTTTGACGTGCCTTGATTTGGAGGAGGGTGCAGAACCAGTTCCTTGAAATTAGGAATCCCTCAGTCATGATGAGGGGCTGTTCTGCAGGGAATTCAGTGGGTGTCTTTCTGGTTTCTCTGTACTGCCACAGTTGGATTTAGGGTCAAGTGGACCTGACCCCGTAGTTCCCGGCTCTAGCTGCTTCCAGAGCTCTGAAATTTGAGGCATTGCTCTCCTAGTGTTTCTGGTGCTAGAGGGACATGCTAGACACCCCCCAGAAGAGCTTTTACTGGGGAGATGACTAACTATCCCCCTGTTATGGATCCAGAGTTGGGAGAGAACCAAACCCCTGATTCTTCTGAGGTTCTCCCATCACTAGACCCATGTGCTCGAATGCCATATCCAAAACGGAGTAGGAGAAGAACCAGCTTTTTGCCAGGTTAGATAAGGCTCTGTGCTCCCTGGCTTCTCTTGAAAGATTTATTATTGAAATCAACCATTCAGAGGCTTAAAATGCACATGCTAATCCTCAGGTTTAAGAAACGAAACACAATTTTATTGGGAAGCCATCTGGGTGTTTGCCTTGGAGTAGAGCAGGGGTGGGCAATTATTTCAGGCGCAGGGCCGCTTACTGAGTTTTGGCGAGCCATTGAGGGCCACG